GTACTTAAGTAGGGGGTTCAAACTGAAAGTGGAGTTTCAAATTTGTTTGTTTTTCGGTTTTCAGTGAATAGTAATTAAAATATTAGAAAGTGTTGTTCTGGGTTACTTTTGGTGGATTTTGATTTTATTTTTTGGTCTAATTCTGGTTTAATTACTTGGTTTTTTTGTGTGCAACCTTTTGTTTCATTAGTTTTAACTCTCGGGATTACATTCAACCATATACCAATACAAGAAAGCGTCAAATATTAAATCATAAGAAACAACATAATTATACGACAGCGAATCAAGAAAAAATTCTATATGCATCGATATAAAGCTCATAGCTAAGCTGGAAAGCCGAGATTTGGTCATTTTGAACAGTGACGTTGAAAGACAACTCATACCTTCGAGTTTTATCAAGACAAAATCGGTTGCATCTTCGAGTTTCGTCAAGACGAAATCCGTTGCATCTTTTGGTCCCGTACAGACCGCTACACGACATACAAAACAGTTAGAGAAAAAGCTCAATTTTGATTCCGAAAAAACTCTTACTCTCAGTGAAAGAAGAAATGATGGAATGGCTCTCTACCAAAATGATGTAGTCTCAAAAATATTATGCTCATCCGCGGCGCATCAACAAATGGTTCAATGCAAGCTAAAGCCAAAATTCAAAGGAATTTCTAGAAGACAATTAATTCGTGGATATATCAAGAAAGTGTCTTGATACAAAGAACGGATTTCCATTAATGTCGACTGATAAATATTTCATTATTTGATTTATTTTGCATTTATGTTGATTTATTTGATGATTTGTAATTTGAGCCTATATAACCTCATTTCTCCATTCATTGTAAAAATATAGAATTTTTGGAAAATAAAATCAAGAGTTTTCTCACTTTTGAATCTTAGGCTTTGTTTGCTTGTCTTTTCTATTGTGTGTGATTCTCTTAGAAAGCAAGTGTGATCTTTGTCTTTGTGTCTGATTCACATAGACATTGATTTGTATTCTTATCACAAAGTCATTCCCCAACTTTCTATGGCGAATTTTGATCCATTCAAGCCGTAAGCCTTGACACCGTTTGACCATAAGTTTGGTGTGATTCCGAGTCTTATATCACAAAACGGAAAGGAATATGGAATAGATTTCTCCCAAAAGGAGTAATTTGTAGGATTTGAGAATCCAGAAAACTTTGTTCGTTCAAAAGCAAATCAAGATGTTGAAACTTGAAATACACATATATGGGCCACATTCATTAGAGAATGGATTGAAATCCATTAATTACAAAATGGGCCAGACCCATCAACAAAACTTATTTGTAGTTTTCAGTAGAATGAATAGCTTGGGAGTCATCGGAATAATTGACGGCAAAAAAGTTTTTATAAATAGAGACCAATTACGGATCCAGGAGGTGGGTATCATCAACGAAGAACCTCGCCCACATGGAAGATGGAGATAGATGCGAGACATGAGCATTACAATTTACAATAATCTTATGAGATCTCGACGAAGAAGATAGTTGTGCATACGTCGGAGGATGAGGTGGAAACAGCCGAGGATATGAAGCGGAGATCAACACGGTAAGGGAAGGTGAATCCAGCGAATCTGAAAGATCCGGCGGCGAGCTTAGGGTGTGACGGTGAAAGAGCATGTGTTGCAGATCTGGTGTAAACGTCACTGACGGTTGAACCGGTGGACGGGAGGTTAGGCCAGAGCAAGCAAAGATCTCGTCGATATCCATGGATATCGATGGAAATTGGAGCAGAATACCAAGGCAAAAACGTGTCCGGAAAGTCTCGTCGACGACAACGATAGCCGGCGAAATGTGAAAACGGTTATTCAGATCCGTCGAGGCTAGAACCAAGAATTGATAGAGTAAGAGATACTTATTAGGAGAAACGTGAAGAATGCCGGTGAAAACTCATTTTGTCGAAGACGGTGCCTCGACTTCTGTGCTTGGGAGGATTTCTTTAGAGCGAACCGGATGATTTTGTTTTAAAAATATTTGGTCATCTAGTTTGTTACTTGGTTATTAACTCAGCTTTAGAATCGGTGTATAATCTAAGTTTTCTTTGTAACTTAATGTCAAATTGGGTGAACAAATACTCTCTTCAATCTTTTGTTTCTCATGACATTATGTAAAGAGTTTTCTAAGTTCAACTAAATCCATATTATATTTTCAGTTGTCCACTAAATTGAAAAGAGTAAAAAATTATTTAGATTGACATTAAAAACACTCATAATTTAGTTGAGCCAGCTCCGAGTGGAAGTTGATTAGTACTAGTACTGAGAAATGCTATAGTCGTAGTACTTGACGCTATGGGTCAATCTAGTGGACAATTAGACCATCTTTCGTTTTTTTAGTTTTTTTTTATCGTGGGTACAAGTTATTGGATTAGTTTTAGTATTGTCATAATAGTTTTTGGTTGTAGAAAAATATACAATGTATGATTTGGAAAATATGTTGAGGATTCGAATGGAGACCGTACAGAGCAAAATAACAGATAAAATACATTTATCAACTGGTCATTATCAAAACCCGATTCATAAATTGAAGATTAAAAAATCGTTGCTATTTCATTGCTAGTGAAAACTTCTTACGACTCCCGAAAGTTGAGAAGAAGCTATAGATCGTGATATTGGCCACGTCATTGCTGTTAAAAAAAAAAAAATAGCGACGAATGCTTTTGACTAGCGACATAATCTTTATTATGGAATGACTAGTGAAAACGATAGAAGTTCACAGTCCTAAAAGAATTAAGGTAGATTAACGGCCGATCGATGAAGTCCAAATTAATAAAAATTAAGGTTTAAAAAAATTCTTAAACAAAGACATCATTGGAAAGTCGAAAATGTGAAAGGATTAGCATTATTTTTATAGAAATAATAAATAATATGAGTTGTTTTACTCGGATCTACAGTTTAAAATATAATAATACAAGGGAGATTTTGAAAAATATCCTAAATTTTAATAGAAATTTGAAAAATATACTTTTTTGGAAAAATATACTTTTTTGTTACGTAAAAGTACGTAAATACCCTTATACATATTTAACATGCTAAATAACTTAAGAA